CATCCATCGTCTTGGTCACTCATGTGGCTCTCGTCTGTCATCCTTAGTTCGATGTGGCCTTCTAGCATATGTCTCTAGAGGAGTGTCTTTAAACTATCAGGTTTGTCGGCTTTGCAAACAGGTTCAGTTACCTTTCCTTCGAATTAGTCCAAACCATCCTCCCATGATGATCTTTGTACTCATAACATTCTTGGGGAGGGACACCAAAATCACCTGTCTAACAACTCTGATCCACATGTATCGTATTCATGATTATATCCATATGGGGCACATGCAAGCTACTAAGCTTAGATCAAAACATCACAAATCCAAGTGCCAAAGTTATCTCCATCCTAGAATCCAAGTAGCTATATCATTTAACCTAAAGGAAACACGAGTTGTGCTACTCCAAGATCCTTGTTCCCTTACTGCTAATCCAATGCTCCAATAATCCACCATTCCCATAATCATGATTGATGTTGCTAAGTCTCATCTAGCCTAAAGGAAACAAAAGTTGTGTTACTTCAAAATCCTTGTTTCCTTACTACTAATCCAATCCTAGATGCTCCAATAATCCACCAATTATCATAATCAAGATTGATGCTGCAAACTCTCATCTAACCTATATAAATCCGATATATATCCAAGGTTTATCATACTACACCCTAAAGTTCTCAAACTTCATCAATCTCCAAAAGTGTGAATTTAGCACAAAGCAATCCACCAACATCATAACCATGATTTAAATAAACCCCAAATTCATTGTTATCTAAATCCAATATAAACCACAAAGTTCTATTGACGGACTATGGATCCTTATGTGTACTACTGAAGTTATTTATCCATCGTGAAATTTGGTTCAAGATCACGATCACCTAACTAAATCCAAATTGTTCCCAGATTAATTAAAGCTCTGTTTATCCACCAATATAATAATCACCATGCTCAACTAGACCTAAAATCTCATAATCCACCAAAAATCTTTGACTATCTCCTGAATATCACTTCTACATCACCACTAGACTCCAATCATAGCTCCTCCAAACAACTTACGTATGGCACCACCCAACTTGGCGCATGTTGGGGCTTAAGGATGTAAAATGATTAACTCACACAATCTCATGTTGGGCTTTATTCTAGGCAAAAGTTGTTGGTGCTTAAGCGGTGCTCTTACAATTCCACAAGTTAAGCACATCGATGTAAGTCCATGCTATCAGAACTTCTATAGCTAGGTTGGGTGTCTTGGACTAGATTTGGTTCAGAGAAAGGCTTAAGCTTGAGAGAGCAGAAACTCTAAATAAGTTGCACTTGGTACAGGTGAAGGCCTAGACTAGAGTGCAACACAACTTATATCTCTCCAAACTCATCCACACAACAAAATAGCTTTGGCACCTCACTCCGCAACGACCATGTCACGCCATCCCAAGTAGTAGATCCACGTGCAGACAACGGATATGCCCACAACATCCACCAATCGCGCTGACGCACGAGCATTGGGTGGACGATGCCTTTCTCCTCCAAGTGCCCTCTTCATGCCTCCTCGCTTCCCCTATCATCATCCCCTCACCGCACAACTCTAGGTTCAAAATTTGACGACGGCGGCAGCAGTCAATTCCCAACGACAGTTTCACCGCTTCGCCCACACCCCTCGTGCACTCTCTGCTCCATGCCAGTCCGGTTGGGCATCCTTTGCTTGGCTACGGGTTGCTTTGTGTGCTGCCTCGATCCCACAACCCGTCTTCCCCTGCTGGGCGCCGCCATAGGCGAACGCTCAAGCACCACCTAACGGCAGAGCAAGAGCAGGGGTTGTCGGCACCGCAATGTCTAATCCACATGATGTGTGCACGACGCTACCTGTTGCAGGGGCCAAGGGCCCCCAACAAGGGAACGTAGGATGCGACATCAAGTTCGTGACACGTAACCCGCATATAAGGGAAGGACGCCAAGAAAGATCGACGAGGAACAAAAATTGCACGACTTCGACACCCACTTTTAGTTTCATCGCCTAGTGCTTCTTCGTCTGATTCTTCCAGTTTGTCGACCATTCGACCTCCAGATTCTCATGTTCATGTTCTTAGGAACTTGCCTCCCAGCCGATAGT